AAATCTCATGCCCCCACTTATAAGAAAGATTTTGCTTGCACATATTGCATGAGACATTACCACACGTCTACTCATTGTAAATTTAGAGATAATACTTATTATTATGGGTTGATGTGGGTACTTGAAGGTGTCAAAAATACTAACATTCAAAGACCCAAATTTTAGGTACCTAAAGGTTCTACAAATTGTTTACATGTAGGGAACGTCTTGCACAAGATGTAAGGAGTTGTGGTACCTTGATAGCGGTTGCTCTCATCACATGACGGGAAACAAGGACTTATTTGCAACCCTATCAAGGATTGAAGGAGGCAATGTCTCCTTTAGTGGCGGTGAGAAAGGTAAAATTGTAGGTATTGATAATGTTGGTAAGATACATTCTTCCGTTATTGAGGATGTTTATTTAGTAAAAGGACTTAATCATAATCTCTTAAGTATTAGTCAACTTAGTGACAAAGGCTATGATGTTATTTTTAAACTGGATAAGTATAAGATAAAGCTATTTTTGTTTCCCTTAGAAAGTCTAATGTATATATTTTTGAGATGAATGAACTTTTAGATCAAGATGCAAAGTGTCTTGCCACGGTGGACGGAGATCCTTAGATTTGGCACAAAAGACTTGGTCATGCTCACATGAGGTTAATCTCTAAGCTATCAAAAAAGAACTTGGTAAGAGGACTACCAAGTCTAACATATATTAAAGATTCACAATGTGAGGAATGTGCTAAAAGTAAACAAATCAAAAACTCTTTTAAATCCATAAATGAGGTATCCACCACTAAACCTTTATAATTGTTTCAACTTGATTTATTTGACCCTATGCGTGTTGCCTCATTAGGAGGAAAGTATTATATGTTTGTTATTATTGATGATTTTTCACGCTTTACATGGGTTATATTTCTTACTAATAAAGATGAATGTTTTGAAGAACTTTCTAATTTAGTAAAAAGAATTGAAAATGAAAAGGATTTGAAACTTAAAAAATTAAAAGTGATCATGGTGGTAAATTTCAAAATAATTTTTTTAGTGATTTTTATGACCATCATGGTATTACACATACGTTTTTCTCTCCAAGAACACCACAACAAAATAGTATAGTTGAACAAAAAAATCATATCATATAAGAGATGGCACATACTATGATTAATGCTTTTGATTTGCCAAAATATTTTTGGATGAAAGCCATAAACATGACTTGCTATGTTTTAAATCATATTTTAATTAGACCTATTTTCAAGAAAACACCTTATGAACTTTATTTTGGCAAAACTCAAAATATTAGCTATTTCTGGATTTTAGTTGCAAATGTTTTATTTTGAATACAAAATATCACCATGACAAATTTGATTCAAAGATTGATATTGGTGGAGTAAATTATAGGGAGCCCATCAAAATAAGTTTTAATTATCTCAAAGGCTATGAGCGAGTGTGGTAATGTAGCTTTCTTATCCTAAATTGAACCTAAATGTGTTGATGATACTTTGAATGATGAATTTTTGGTTTTAGCTATGCATGATGAATTAAATAATTTTTAAAGAAATAATGTTTGGAAACTTGTTCCTAGACCTAAATATTTTCATGTTATTGGAACAAAATGGGTTTTTAGAAATAAATTTGATGGATTTGACATAGTGATTAGAAATAATGCTCGTTTAGTTGTTGAAGGATAAAATCAAGAGGAGGGCATTGATTATGATGAATTTTTGCATCGGTTGCAAGATTGGAGTCAACTAGAATGTTTTTAGCATTTGTTATCTTTAAAATTTTCAAATTATTTTAAATGGATGTTAAAAGCGCCTTTTTGAATGTTTTATTGAAGAAGAGGTGTATGTCGAGCAACCCTCTAGTTTTATTTATCCACTATTTCCTAATCATATTTATCGGGTATAAAAAACTTTGTATGGGTTAAAACAAGCTCCTAGAGCTTGGTATGCTCGACTCTCAAGTTTTCTTATTGATAATGGTTTTCAAAAGGAAAAATTGATAATACTCTATTTATTATAAAAAGGAAACATAATTTTATTTTGGTTCAAATTTATGTTGATGATATTATTTTTGGTTCCACTAATGAATCTTTGTGCAAGAAATTTTAAAGTTATACAAGAACAATTTGAGATAAGCATGATGGGAGAGCTTACATTTTTTCTCGGTCTCCAAGTCAAACAAACCAATGATGGAATTTTCATGTTACAAAGAAAACATGAAAGAGAGTTGGTCAAGAAGTTCGGATTGGAGAACTCTAAACATGCACCAAGCCCCATGAGTATCACCATCAAGTTATACTTGGATGAGAGTGATGAGAAGGTAGGCCAAAAGCTTTATCGATGTATGATAGGTAGTTTACTTTATCTCACCACTAGTAGATCGGATATTATATTTAATGTTTGTACATGTGAACGTTTTCAAGCTTCTCCTAGAAAATTTCATCTAATTTTGGTTAAAAGAATTATTAAATATATAAATGGCACTATAGAACTTGCTTTGTTTTACCCTAAAAACACTTCTTTTGATCTTTGTTGTTATTATGATGCCGACTTTGCCGGATGTAAGGTAGATCGTAAGAGTACAAGTAGAACATGTCAATTTTTAGGTAACTTACTTGTACCAAGAAACAAAATTGTGTTTCCTTGTCCACTACGGAAGCGGAGTACATTACCATCGGCTTGTGTTGTGCACAACTTTTATGGATGAAACAAAATTAGTTGATTTTGATTTACATTTTTATGATATAAAAATATTTTGTGATAACACTAGTGTGATTAATATTTCAAAAAACTCTATTTTGCATTCTAGAACCAAACACATAGATGTAGACATTACTTCTTGTGTGACCATGTAGATAGGAAAGATGTTTCCCTTGTTTACATTGACACAAAATCATAATTAGCGGACATCTTTACCAAACCCCTTAGTGAAGAAGATTTTTGTCGTATAAGAAATGAATTAGGCATGTGCATTCTTTGAATACTTGTTTTGATGCCGTTTGCTTGCTATTGTTTTTTCAAGCTATCAATTTTATATTTATTTTTTTTTATCTTTGTGATCTACATTGTTAAAACATGTTTAACCACACAAGGATACGTAGAGAAGTGGTTAGGAGAGGTCGGGGTCAATTCCAAGAGGAGTGGGTTGGTAGTAATGCCTAGGGAGAGGTCGTAAATCCAAACACTTGAGGAATGTGACACGGGTTGGTCAACATTTAGAGGAGTATCTTGTGGGTTTTAACACATGTATATTTTCTTGTTTACCCCATTTTGATGTTGACAAAGGGGGAGAGAAATCTCTCAATTTGTGCACATAAATAGGGGGAGAGTTATAGATAGAGAGAGCAACTATCTATAAGCTAAAATTTATTTTATTCATGCTCTTGAATAATGGTAGTTTATCATCATCAAAAAGGGGGAGATTGTTAGTTCTCTTGTTTTGATGATGATTTACAAACACCATTATTGATGCTAATTATTTGTTAAGCTATTGTGTAGATTACAATTTATCAAGCAAGTTAGTGCCAACATTGGAGGGTTGGATGGAACAAAGGGTTACCACGATGATATCCATGGAGGTGGAGGCAAGCAAAGCTTTCCAGAGCACAATACAAAAGAGAAGCTTCATCAAAATATGAGCAAATATCAAGACCAAAGAATTATATTCATATATGTGAGACATTTGCATCTTTTTCTTTCTCTCTAGTGCTTAATGTAGACAAGTTATTGAGTTGATAACATTTGAAGCTCATTGGGTTCACACACACACATTCATAAAAACATGTTTTTGACTATTTTTAAAAAATAAGTAGTTTTTACAATTGGGAAATGATTTTTTAAAAAATCTTTTTCTAACATGTTCAAAATCATGTTTATAAATATTTCCCAAAGTTTTATAATTTTTTTTTAAAAAAAAATTATATTTTATTTTGAATATACAAAGTCATATTTTCAACTAATATCAAATTCCTGTATGTACATGTTTTTGGTCGACCGACCAGAGAAGCTGTTTTTCTTGACCATGCAGACAGTCACCTTCAGTCGACCGATTTTTATTGTACGGTCGACTGATGTCTAAGGGTCGGTCGACCGGAACAACATTGTCGGTCGACCGAACCAGTTCCAGATTGCTGAGTCTGCAACGGTCAAATAGTCGGTCGATCGGGAATGATCCATCGGTCGACCGGATCTACTGTAACGGCTAGTTTTTGTACCAGCTAAATTTTTGGGATTTTGGTACTTGTTTGAAATTTGGGCTATTGTTTGGTGTTCCTATATATACCCCATTGCTCTTTTCACTTAAGTAATCAATCAAGCAAGAGAAAAATCTTATGTTTGGTTTCCTAAGTGTTCTTAAGCTCAAACTTTTAATTCTTAATCCTTAATTGTGTTTAAGCCTTTATTTTCCTCACATCCACACTCCACAACCCTCGAGTTTTACTTGTTCTTCACTTGATCCTTGTCATAGGATTGTTGTGAGAGTTTTTCCTTCTTTCATTGTGATTGTGTGGTGAGATTGATCTCGAGGAGATCACTTGTGTGGATTGAAAGATCTCAAGAGGAGATCGTTGTGAAGAAATTCCGGCTTCCGAACCGGGTGTGATAGTGAAGTTACCATCGGGAGAGGTGGTCGGGGACGTAGGTCAGAGAACCGAACCTCGTGAACATATCGTGGGTCGCTATTGGCTAACTATTCTCTAAACTCTTCCTCTATTTATTGCCTTTGCATTTAATTTGGTTGGTGTGTTGCATTGACAAATTTTAATTACACATTTATTATCACAATACCCTATTCAACCCCCCCCCCCCTGAGCCGGCCTAGGGGTAGGGTCACCAGGGCTACAGCCCAGGGCCCACAACTGAGGGGGGCACTAGGGGTGGGTGAGGAAACTATGGGGTGAACTAATAAACAAAAAAAACCACAATTACAACTCACATCAAGTTGTCAGAGGCTCTTAGTCTTCTTCAGTCTTCACCCCTACCCCTAGCCCCTAGGCCGGCTGGTTAATTTCCCAGAATCCCAATTGGCCAATTCCCATCAAGGCATCAACCCACCCCACCGCCTCTTCTTCACCTCATCTCTTCCTTTACTAAATTCTCCTCTCTCTCTCTCTCTCTCTCTCTCCAAATTCTGCTGTTATATTCTTCCCAAATTCCCCAACTAACCGCAGATGCTTCGGCTTCCAAATGTTGAAGAGATTTTATGCTATTGTAAACTAATACTCCACTGTATGCGATACGTACATGATACGGTACATATTTGTTTGTTGAACTTACATAGTTTGATTGCAATAGAATGTTGTTGTCTAAAGTTTTTTTTTTTTTTAGTCAATTGTTGTTTCAGTATCTTTACCCAAGAATTCTAGAACAAAATAACACACATCTATTTCTTATTCTCCCTAATCCATGATTAGTGACACTGAGAACGTGCCAATAGGTTTTTCCCCACAAAATTTGGTAGTTTTCTTCAAAATTTTCAAAATTGCCCCTTAAATGAGTTGAAAGAGCTATAAGCATTGAGGCGTAGTCAGTGGTTTTTTAAAAATTTGACACGCATGATCAAAGTTGAGGCTTTTCTTAAATATAGTAATAGGTATCTTGTTCCCTGATCAAAGTTGAGGCTTTTCTTAAGTTATTTATTACCTATTAGATTAAATCAGTTGGGTTTTGCTTATGTTATTCAATTGTGTATGAGCTCTGAAATGTTGAACTTCCTTTGATAACTCATTAACTCTTGATTTTATGGTTCAGTATTTAATCTAAACTTTTGTATCAGGATGCTCTTGATTAAGCCCCAACTCTGACCTCGTGGGGTTCGACTGGACTGATAGGCAACAACTTTCTTTGAAGGTACTTTTTTTTACAATAACATATAGAATTTAGATGTATAAATTTTGTAAATTGTAAATTTGTAATACATATCTTTTTAACTTTTTCTTATTTATTATTTGATTCAACAGAAACATTGGCTGGGATTCTTGATCTTTATAATTGGAAGTTTCAAGTGGAAGAACATATGCTCAAAATCCAGGTTTTATTGTTCTTTGTTCTTTGTTAAGTGTTTATTATAAAAATTAAAAAATGTTTCCTAAGAAACAACTTTCCGGAAATCTCAAGAGACAAAAAAAGAAAAAAAATGATGAAATTGCTCAAAGTTTAAGAGGATCTTTGAATAAATATTTTGTTAAACAAACCAATGCTTCACTTGAAAATTTAGACGAAGATGATTTACCAAATGAATATGAACACCCAATATTGGAAGAATTAGTAGAAAATGAGAATGATGTGAATGAAGAAATTGGTGATCTAGATGAAAATGAAAATAGTGATGAACCTTTCCTTGATGAAAATGAAAATATTGATGAACCTTGCCATGAAAATGAAAATAGTGATGAACCTTTCCTTGATGAAAATGAAAATATTGATGAACCTTGCCATGAAAATGAAAATAGTGATGAACCTTTCCTTGATGAAAATGAAAATATTGATGAACCTTGCCATGAAAATGAATGTCCCGAAACAAGATTTGATTTGAACATTTATGATCCACGAGTTTGGGATAATCTTGATGCAAAAATGAGAGATTTACTTGTAGAAAAAGGTCCCCTAAGAGAAACTAATCTCAAATTCCCCATGGACGAACACAATAGACATTTTTCTTCAAATTATTATATTCGTACGTTACCAAATGGGGAAACTAAGGATCGAAAATGGCTAGTGTACTCAAAGGAGTTGGATAAAGTGTTTTGTTTCTGTTGTAAGTTGTTTAAAACAATGAATTCTAGAAGTCAGTTAACTAGTGAAGGAATTAGAGATTGGAAACATCTTGGTGAGAAGCTTAGACAACATGAAAGCAGTATTGAACACCTCACTAACTTGAGGTCTTGTGTTGAATTGCAAATCAGATTGAAAACAAATCAAACAATTGATACAGAATTACAAGAGCTAATCAAGAAAGACACTACACTGGAAAAATGTTATTGTCAGAATCATTGCTGTTGTGAAATATCTTGTTATACATAATTTGGCTTTTCACGGAACAAATGAAAAAATTTATGAAGATGGTAATGGTAACTTTTTAGGCCTGCTTGAAATGATTGCAGAGTTTGATCCAGTAATGCAACACCATTTTCGACTCATTCAAGATAAGAAGATTCATTATCATTATCTTAGTCATAAAATTCAAAATGAGTTGATAGCTATTTTAGCATCAAATGTTAAACATGCAATCATTGAAAAAATAAAAACAGCTAAATATTTTTCTGTCATTCTTGATTGTACTCCTGATGCAAGTCACAAAGAACAAATGACTTTAATATTGAGGTGTGTAGATGTTTCAAGTACTCCAATAAATATAGAAGAGTACTTTTTAGAGTTTCTGAATGTGGAAGATACATCTGGATTAGGACTTTTTAATGAATTGCAAAATGTAATTGAGTCCCTTACACTTAATATTGATGATGTGAGGGGACAAGGTTATGATAATGGCTCTAATATGAAAGGAAAAAATCTAGGTGTACAAAAAAGATTACTTGATATAAATCCTAGAGCATTTTACATGCCATGTGGTTCTCATTGTCTCAACTTAATAGTTTGTAATATGGCCAACTCATGTGTTAAAGCAAAATCTTTTTTTGGAGCATGTCAATGCATATATACGGTATTCTCTAATTCAACAAAGCGATGGAATGTGTTACTTGATTACATAGATGGTTTGACTTTAAAATCATTGTTACTGAAGAATCATTTAGAATTGATTATTTTCTTGTTATAGTGGATATTGCTCTTGGTGAATTGAAGAATAGGTTTGAACAATTGCATTGTTTTGAATCTATTTTTGGGTTCTTATTTGATGCTGCAAAATTGACTTCGCTTGATGATAATGAATTAAAAAGTTTTTGTGTGAATCTTGAAAATGCTTTAAAACATGGTGATGTTTCCGATGTTGATCCAAAAGACTTATTTTTAGAATTACAGGTGTTGAAAGTGATGTTACCAAAAGAAGCATATGAAACAGATAAACCATGGACATCCATTAAAATTCTTGAGTTTGTAAAGAGTGTGGATATGTTTCCTAATGTAATGGTTGCTTATAGGATATTATTGACTATACCTGTGACTGTGGCATCTGCTGAAAGAAGTTTTTCTAAATTAAAATTATTGAAATCTTACTTGCGGACCACCATGACTCAAGATAGGCTAAATGGATTAGCGATATTATGCATTGAAAAGGATATGTTAGAGAACATTAAATATGATAGTATAATTGATGATTTTGCATCTAAAAGTGCAACAAGAAGACATTTTAAATGATGTTTTGTAGTTGAGATTTCATTGCTATTTTTATTTTGTAGGTACATGTGATGATTCTTTGCTTCGATTAATTGTGGAGGATGAAAAGAAGATTGATCAAATCAAGAAATGCTTATGGAGATTTGGGAGTAAGCATGTAGACTCAAATATGTAGTTTTTGTTTTTTAATGCAATGTTTACAATCCGGGGGTACTCTTTTCCTTCTTTTAATGCAATGAAAAGAAGATTGTCTTTTGTAAAATCTTATAATTTTAATAAAGTTAATTAATTGATAATTTATTTATTTGTTTGTTTAATTTGTATAAAGGGGGCACACAGAGAAAATTTGCCCTGGGCCTTAGAAAACCCAGGACCGGCTCTGTAGTGTTGATGAGGATAAAGGCATGGATAGATTGAGCAAATCATCAGCTTATCTTAAATACCTACCATATCTCCTTCAACTTACCTCAAATACCTACCATATCTCCAAATTATTCACTATATTTAATAAATTCAATCTTAAGCACAGCGCCTTTTTGGGTACATGAAAATTTACATGAAAATCAAACTAGTATACGGTATGTGTCATAGTTGCCTCTAAAAAGTGATACCTGCAGTGTTTCTACAAAGAATGTTATTATAGAGTATATATTCAGCAAATCTTTTATGGAGATGACTGTAAAATTGGTTCTCGTAGTGTATAAGACACCCATTGTCTCTTCTATAGAAAACCTTTATACTCCATGTCCTCTAAAACACAAAAACCCTGATATTCCATGATGAAGGTTTTTTCATGCAAGTTTATAGCCATCAAAATCAACCTTATCTGCATTGCATTCCTATTTGTTATCTGTATAGCCACCATCCATCAACAACCTTCTCTACATAATGAAACTTTTGTAACGTTCATTCGCTGTTCTCTACATGATTGCAAGGCTGAACAGGTAAAGATGAGTTCTATATACCCAATTCAATATTTTTCTTTATTTTGTTAAGCTTACGGTTTGTAAGAGAGATGAATAATGGATAGAAAAGGTACATAGAAAGTAAGTTATACAAACACAATAAGAATACATAGGAGAAAGAGCAGAGTCAGAAACTTTATCTTCTGTCATAATAATTCAGAGGGTAAATTTCACAAAAACACCCCCGGAACTTTGGGTGCCTCACAACACCCCCCGACCCTAAACTGTCAAATTTTACCAACGAATCCCTCTACCTGAAAATGACAAACAACTAAAACATCATATAGTGAGAGAAAAAGAACGCCAATTATGACACTTTAATTTTGACCAAATTTTAAAAATTAATAGAATCCTTCTCCTCACAACTATTTTCCTTCATTTTCTTTGAGAAAAAATTGCTACATTTTCAATCCATTGGATATTCCTATTACCAAACCTATTAATTCCTTCTAATGTACAAGCGTATATTTTGTTTCTTTCAGTTTCCTATTTGGCTATTTCCATTAAGAAACGTCTTTCTTGGCAGGCTAAAAGTGGTGAACGTAAAAATATTGATATCAAGAGACAGAGACTACGGGACAAAGCACAATCCTTCTTCAAAGACTTTCACGGTGATAGACGAATTGGTATGGTGAACATGGGCAATTCTGAAGCCATCAACATTGGCATTCTAGAGAAATCAATAAAGTACACGATCAATATCCAATTTGATCCCGTCCGATCGAGCCTAACCTGGAACAAATTATTTCCATCATGGATTGACGAGGAAAATAGTTCTTCCTCATGCCCTCAAATACCAATGCCAAATCTTTCTCTATACGAGGAATTGGATGTAGTGATGGCGAGTCTACCATGCAAATGGCCAGAGACTAATTGGAAGCGAGATGTTTTTCGGCTGCAAGTTCATCTAGTGGTAGCAAATGTAGCAGTTAAGAGAGGAGTTAGAGATGAGAGGGGGAAGGTGAGGATTGTGCTTAAGAGCAAATGTCGGCCGATGATGGAGGTTTTTCGGTGCGATGATTTGGTGAAAAGGGAGGGGGAATGGTGGTTTTATGAGGTTGAAGTGAGAATGTTGGAGGAAAAGGTTGCTCTCCCTGTGGGTTCATGCAAGTTGGCTTCGGACTCCGCGAAAGAAGGTACGCTTGCTGTATTTTCTCTCTCTTTCTCCTGATCGTCAATCCAGCAGTTCGTTCATTTGTGTTTTGTTTGGGTATAATAAAAATGGGTTAATTATGGGTGGACCATTTGGGCATTGGTTGAAGAGACAAGAGAGGGATTGCTTTCGGGGACTCCGGTGGAGATTTTCTCTTGTTGTTACTGAAGAAGATGAACTTTTTCTATATTTATGGGCGTTCTATCCCCCTCCGTCCCCAGGTAACCGCCCTGATTTGCCTCCCGATTTTCCTCACGCACGTTGCTTTACGTGAGACTCGTTCTGCAACGGAAAGAAGTCCCACAGATTGTGAGATTCTCCCAACAAACGTATCGAGTTCTTAACGGGTTGGGTAACTATTTGGCCCATGAGGCCAAACCCACTAACATCTCCCACTTGGCCGAAATGGCCAAATACTTTCCAAGCACACTCCCACTATCTATGGGATGTTACTCAAGATGTAATTCCATACTCCCACTATCCGTGAGATATATGCATTTTTTTTTAAATTTTCTACGTGAATAAACCGAGTACAACCATTATCCATGATTGTCTCCTTTCATTATTCATGAAAGTTTCCTTGTCTTAGATATTTCTATGTCCCATCAAACCAACATGTTTGATGAATGTACCTGCTGGGATACCCTTCGTCAAGGGGTCAGCAATCATGTCACTAGTAGGAATATAAGTCACACAGAGTTCTTCCTTTTCCACAATATCACGAATATAATGATATTGTATCTCAATATGTTTTCCTTTAGAACTGTTTGCACCACTGTTGATCAAGCTGATAGCTTCTTG